ATGTCTCTTGAGGTTCTACCATGCCAGGCAGGTTGTTTGGATAGCGGTTAAACAAAAAGCAGCTACCCAATCCAACATCATGTCCAATACAAAATTACAAAATTTCATGCCGGATCGGCCGTGGCCCGGATTAACAACGACCGCGCTTCCTGCTGCCGTGTCACAGGGCGGGAGTGATAAATCTGCTACTGAGACACACCAAACAAAAAAGAACGAACAAAAACAGGCCGCGTGTGACCGGCCTCAAGCAGTTGTCCCCTGGGCTCTGCGGTCACGCAACCAACTTCCACGGTGTGGGCAGCCGGGAAGTAACAATCGCCCTCACAATCCGAAATGCACACGAAACCTCTCTATTACTCACTCATCTTTGTCTTCATCTTCATCTCTATCATCTTGCCTTCCTTCCACTGATGCAACTCCTCGACTTGATAGCTCTCCACTTCCTCTCCACTCTGCGTCCACTAAAAACGATGGAAGCCAAAAAACCACCACCGACAGCCTCTTAAAGCCGCGCCACCAATTTCATATAGGAGCTCTTAATGTTAGGACACTTTGCCAAATAGGACAACAAGCATCACTAGCCAAGACCCTGGCATCACGAGCCATTGATGTATGCTGTGTTTCAGAAACACGCATACAAGACCCAAGTGTGGTTATTCACCTAACCCCACCTGGCCAACAGGTTGAATCTGCAAAATTCACCTTGAGGGTGTCAGGAGATGCCACAGCTAGTTCACGAGGATTAGCTGGCGTAGGGATAGCTTTGAGTACTAGGGCAGAAAAGACATTGCTTGACTGGATCCCGGTAGATAGCCGAATGTGTGCTGTCCGCCTGAACGGATCAGTAAGAAGGAGGAAGGACTGCACTACTCGCCGATGCCTTTTCGTAATCTCCGCCTACGCCCCCACTGACTGCAGTTCAGATGAAACGAAGGATGAGTTCTACCAAAAGCTGTCTAGTTTGGTGGAAAGGCTAAACGCTCAGACATAGTCGTTCTAGCTGGTGACTTTAACGCTCAAGTAGGGAAATTGTGTCAATCTGAGAAGGATGTCGGTGGCACCTATGGAGTTCCGTGCCAGCGAACCGACAACGGTGACCGTCTCCTACAGTTCTGCTCTGATAATCATTTGTTTCTTGTAAGCACTAACTTCAAACACAAGGAGAGACACTGTTTGACTTGGAGACCCCCTTCATCAAACCAACGCTGGACACAAATAGACCACATAGCAATAAGCTATCGTTGGCGTGGGTCGGTAGGAGATTGTCGCTCCTTCTGGAACACGTGCGTAGATACCGACCATGCACTGGTCCGCGCTCGGGTGTGCTTACGACTGAACGGACGTAGGAAACAGCTGGCGGTAAAACCATCACGTCCCCAGCTCGATCAGGAAACTAAATCCGTATTTGAGGAAGAACTAGCTAAACACATATCTGTGTTCGACAGCTGTGCTCACCCTGAAGAAGCTTGGAAAAATATCCAGGCAGCCATAGATACAGCTGTAAAAGCTGTGAATAAGGTAAACCCAAAGGTGAGTAAAAACCACTGGATCTCCACCGCCTCATCCGAACTGATAGATGCTAGAAGACTTATTCCGGCGAGCTCCGAATTCAATGAGGAGCGAAAGCTGCACAAGAGGAAACTTACGAAAAGTCTCCGCAAGGACCGTGAACAGTGGTGGGCGACAAAAGCCAAAGAGATGGAGAAAGCTTTGAGGATAGGCAACACCAGGCAACTCTTTGGACTCATCAGGGAAACGGGTGGGAGAAGACAAATCATTAGTGAGACAATCTCGGAAAAAAATGGCACTATAATTAGCTCACAGGATAGACGACTGGATCGTTGGAAAGAGCATTATGAGGAGCAGTTTAATTTGCCCACAGCCACGCTCAACCTTCCGAGCATCCAACACCTCCCTGAACGGAATAGAAATACAAGTCCTCCGTCACTAACTGAGGTTACTAAAGCTGTCACCAATCTGAAACTAGGCAAAGCAGCGGGACCTGATGGAATGACGCCAGAGGTATTTAAGTACGGTGGAGACAGCTTACTGTCCGGATTAACTGAGGTACTAGGCAGCGTTTGGGAATCAGAAGAAGTCCCATCGGGTTGGTGTAAGTCACTGATTATCCCCATATACAAGAAGGGAGACAAGTCTTCCTGTGATAATCACAGAGGGATTAGCTTGACTAATATAGTATCTAAAGTCTTAGGCTCAATAATCATGCGTAGACTGAGTGGTGCTCGGGAAGCACAAACACGAGAGAGCCAGGCAGGCTTTAGACCAGGAAGAGGGTGTATTGATCATATCTTCACCCTCCGACAGATTCTAGAACATAGGCATTCCTACCGGCGTCCAACAGTCATTATATTTCTTGACCTAAAGGCAGCATTCGACTCTGTCGATCGGGAAGTTCTCTGGAGATGCTTGGCTGTAAAGGGAATTCCAAGAAAATATATTGCACTGATTAAGGCACTCTACTCGTACTCATACAGCCAGGTGAGGGCTTACGGCGAGCTGTCATCTGAACTGATGACGACCAGTGGTGTCCGTCAAGGATGCCCATTATCTCCTTTTCTATTCAACTTCATCATAGATGTGTTAATGGACTTAACCCTAGGTGACTTCAGCGACTCAGGGATTGACTTGCTACCGGGAATAATCTCGTTGACTTGGAATATGCAGACGATATAGTCCTTCTAGGCGAAGACGCTGACGAAATGCAGAGTCTTCTAAACACCTTGAGCCGCAATCTACGAATGTTTGGCATGCGATTCGCTCCCGCCAAATGCAAGATGATGTTACAGGACTGGACTACATCGACGCCTAGTTTAAAAATAGGAAGTGAAGTGGTAGAGCACGTTGACCGCTTCACTTATTTGGGAAGTACCATCAGCCCCAACGGGCTGATCTCTGACGAAATCTCAGCACGAATACAAGGGGCTCGTTTCGCATTTGTTAGTTTACGCCGACTCTGGCGTAGACGAGATGTTCGACTATCGACCAAAGGGCGGGTGTACTGCTCATCAGTCCGCTCCGTCCTCCTTTATGGTTGTGAGACCTGGCCACTGAGAGTGGAAGACATGAAAAGACTAGCTGTCTTTGATCATAGGTGCCTGCGTTCTATTTCCCGTGTAAAGTGGCATAATAAGGTGAGCAACATGGAGGTTAGGCGTAGAGTTCTAGGTAAACAGGGGAAATCAATCGACGAAGTCGTGAAGCTACATCGACTGAGATGGTTAGGACATGTGTTACGTATGCCAAGCCATCGCCTCCCTCGACGAGCAATGTTAGCGGATATAGGGTCAGGCTGGAAAAAAGCTAGCGGCGGTCAAACAAAAACTTGGCATCAGTCAATGAAATCCACAACAGTTGGTCTAAGCCACGTAGAAAGGTGTAGACTTCCAGGCTGGGGTCCTCGGGACGGTAAAAATCTATGGTTGGAAACAATTGGTGACATGGCTCAAAATCGTTCTCAGTGGCGCAGATGCATCCACTCCCTGTGACTTATGATCTTCAATGAAACTGTTTTGTATTTCTTTATTACTCCTTTGTCTCACACCTCTGCTCACTGTTTCTATTATGCTTTTCTTGTACTTTCTTCTCTTGCTTCGCGTGCTACACGGAATGTGGCGACTTGAACTTCCGCACATTTGTGCAAAGTTCTATGTCGAAAACAGACAGACAGACATTTCGTTTTGTCTGAATTTTTCTGTAGAATTCACCAGCTTAGCGAAATATATTTTCAACGGATGGAGACATTACGTTTCGGTGAATGCTTGACTGAATAATTTCGCTTATATCAGTTCACCTGCTGCTGTGGAGCCAGGTACATCGGTCGTTCGACGCAAACCTCGTCCAAGAGGATTCAAGAACACTATCCAGCATGGTTGCGAAAAGCCAATAGTGGTGCAATAAGGAGTGCGATAATTTAACGGTTTCGTCTTCTTTGTATCGTTGAAGTTCTGGTCATTCACATAGAAAAACCGGAGCTGTGCATACAAAAGAAGATTACTCAACCACTTCTACTATCATGGTAACAACTTTTTTGTTTTGATTTGAGTTTTTCTTTATTTTGATGACTTAATTTTGTTTCTTTGCCTGTTCTTTAATTGCTTAAAATTCTTGTATTTATTCAGAACTCTTACGTAATTTCGTATTATCTACTTTGTTTTCATGTGCATACTGAGTAGAACTCACTCATCAAACTATTCATATTATTACATAACTTCTTTTAACAACTGTTTGTGACAACTCATCACCTTTGTTACTAACCTAATTTCATCAACACCTAATTTTCTTGTCTTGTATTGAAAATCTTCACCTGTTTAGTTAAAATAACCATAACCAATTGTAAATTTGTTTGACAAACCTAATGTACACATATATACAAAATAACACATATATTTGCGATTGTAGAGCTAAGAAAATGAATTCGCCGAAAAGAGTCTCTTCGCTGATCTACGTGTTTTGTTTTCATTAATTTCGCTTAGTTTTATTCTGTTCTCATCAATATCTTGAATGTATCAGGGTTTTGTGAGCGTTTCGGTGTTCGAGGCTTTATGCCTCGTTTTTTATAAGTAGAGAGAGAAATATGGATGACGACATCGAGTGTATTTCTACCTTACGCTTATGGGATATATTTTTGCTGATTATCGGTTACGATCGAGGCTTCAGTAGGAATAAGAAAGTTTTCGGACTTTATCGGCTTAGATAAATTTTTGTTGACTTTCTTTAATTTCAGTTATATGCCAAGGAGCATACCATTCTCATTATAAGAAATGTCGGAGATTGTCGATTTGTGACGTTTATTTGATTAGTTTCATATTGTTGAAACGTTTGAGAAAAACACTGAGTGCATAACTCTTTTCAAGTTAGTTTACGTAATACTGTATTTTTAAAAATAGTAAACAGGTCTGTACATAAGGGTGGGTACAATCAGTATTCCATTAATTGAGAATAGCCTCAATGATACACAAGACGAATCAATAGTTTAATGGTTACATATTACTTTTTGATGAAATTTTCACAAAATTTTCCGTGTAATTCCATAACTGACAAGCGAAATCAAGATCAAGTGAATTATCAGGCCATTCGATAGGTATACAATTGCTATACAGCATACCACTACCTGATGCTGGTGTTATGGTGGAATGAGATAAATTAGCATGCTTCACAGGAACTGCATTACTAACTGCACAGTGGACAGAAGTTTGACATCCTTCCATAGGTGATTTTAACATTAGTCTCATTAAACCACTAAGCACCCACTGGATGACTGGTGTATATGACATTAGAGTATTTCGAGTTAGATTAGTATTCACCATTCCACCAGTGAATAGACAATAAACATCAAGTATTTTATTCTCACCTGATCCATATCTTCGATGAAGTTCACGTGAAAACAAATTACACGCCAGTTTAGAATCGGCATATGCTTTGCTACAATCCATATCAAGAGGTTTAAACAGGGAATCTATTGTGAAGCTACCCTTTCTTGATAACGAAGAGCTAACGTTAATCACTCGCGGATATATAGATGTTTCTTGATATGATTTCCGAAGATGTGGTAGAAGCATTGAAGTTAAGTAGAAGTGTCCTATATAGTTAGTAGCTAAAGTAACATTAATGCCTTGAAAAGACATTGATGGACGTAGAATCTTAGGGAATACACCTGCATTATTAATTATAACATGAACAGGTAAAGATAGTGACTTTACAAATTCCTCTATGGACTGTGGATTCTCCAAATCCAAATAGTTGACACAGATGTTGTGATTACCTGTAAGAGCTTCAATTTCTTCTTTCACTTTGTTAGCAGAATTTACGTTCCTAAATATTTTTAAATACATATCTTTAGTATGAAGTAGTATTTACCTGCAACCAAATGTAAGTTTCCAACTTCTTTTGGCTAATTCTATTGCAGTTGCCCGACCAATACCAGAATTAGCACCAGTAATGACAGCATGTCGACCAACTGGAGAAAGGCAATCACAGAAAACTGTCTTTCTCCATAAAAACAAACGCATTGTGTAAATAACAATACTACTAACAGTGGAGCCGAAAATGAGCAACCACAGGGTCATGTAAATTTATGAAACTTCAACTGTCAGTAGCCTGGAAGCAAACAATAATTACAATGGAAGGTTAATTTGCAATAAGATCATTACTATTCTTAGTAGAGACTAATAAATTACTTCCCGCTTACCTAGCATCTTGAGGAAAAAGACTCTAAGGTCGACCTCATAAGAAGACAACACCTAAGAAGGCACTGGAAATCAAGGACCATCGGACATTTGTTCCTTTATAGCTCGTAAACCTCAAGAAAAGACAACAAATATTTCTGTTTGGGATCACAGTCATAATTCTCAGGTCTTGTAGATACAACATTACGGCCTTAGCGACTAGTTAGGATGCCAATATTTATTGATTGCCAAATTGTGATCTAGTGTTAAGACTAACAAATGCCGAAAATGAGCAGCCATTTTTATAATCAACTTGGACACTAGTTACAGTGTCGTAAAATTCCTGAAAGTCATCCCGCGACCAGTCGCTAATGTGTTTATACGATAAGATTTTATCCCATCTCGCGTAAATACACAATGCTGCTTTTCCGAGATGGATTATAATCGAATACTGAAACGCAATGGCACCGATTCTAAGCAGGAAATTCCAACTGTTTAGCTATGTCAGCTTTTACAGCAGGTGTGGTAGAACTGTCTAGAAATTCACAACAGGCATCTAGCCACTCCTGTTGCACTGAAAACACCGACCAAATTGTAGTTACCAGTTTTTCCTGTCTTTATATTACATTGTACGTCTGACCATACAATGTGGGTCATATGTGAATGCATGAGACAGTAGGTCTGAAGTTTCTTTTAGGTTTATTATCTGCATAACATGAATTGTATATTTGCATTTTTGTTTACTCCATCACCTTAAAATACTGGCGATAGGAATGACTCAGAAATTGTACCGGATATTTAGAAAATTATGCTATCCCTATATCTAACTATACACTGATGCGTACTATCGTTAGGTTTTACGATTTATTAGAAGCTTAAGCTTCTTACTGCCATATGGTTATAATTAAAAACATATGGCAGTAAGTTGATCAGTACAGATATGCTCTACCACACAACATACTGTAATTAGCTACTAAGTAGCATCAGTAAGATAACATGGAATCCTTTAATATTTAAATTTGTAATACTATAGTAATTACAATACAAAATATCCCTCCTGACCTCAAAACAGAAGTAAGTGACACTATAAATTGACTGAGATTTTATTAACGAGACTGAACGACTGATTTCGCCACACTCATAAGTCTGAGGTCTCCAACAGTGAAGACAAAAACAGGAAATTGGCAGTACCAATTTGAAACATTTCGTAGCTATTCAAAAGTCCGCTACAGCTTGAAGGTCAATATCCAATATCCTGATTACGAGCTAGTATGGCTGAAATTATCCGTAACTTATCAAGGTCATTGGTGGAGTGAGACGCTCGAAGGTCATTTTCGTCCATGTTAGTCGGCCACGTTGGATTGCAGTTCCGTAGCTGCTCGTGCACGCGTTTGTTGTTCCGTTTATTTTGTCGTTGTACACGACTTATCTTGTTGCGTATTGTTCACAAATGTTGCGTTTCACCTCATTTTTTGTTTCTGTTGCTGTTAAAATGAATTATTTCTTTGGTTTTGAAACTTTTCACTACCAGGTCAGTGCATTCATTTCGGTGTAATTGTTTCATACCTTGTATTTATGCGGCTTTCAGTGTTTTAGTTAGTTTTCAGCTGTTAATGAATTGGCAATGTGTAGAAGTTTTGGAAATCATGCACATGAAGATGTTTGGCTGGCAGAAGCAGTTGTTTTCAGTCCATTTATTGGTTAACGTTATTCTTGTTGGCTCAGGTAATTACTTAAGATGTAGAAATCGTGAAAAAAGTGTCTTTCTCGTTCATGTTTACAGCATGCAACAATCTGCGAGAGAATCTGTTAAAGACAACACCATCAGAGTTGATGTTAGCAAGGTTTTCGAAGAATAAATTAAACCTGGAGAATTTAGAACCTGGGTTGAAGTTGAAAAAGCTTTGAAGCGTTTTGAGAATGTGGATATACCATCAGTGTCTCTGCTATCATTTAAAAAATGTATTGTGAGAGAATCTAAGTCAAATAAGGTTGAGCCGCATGAAAAGTATGAATCTGTTGTGCTTGTGTGTATCTTGCGGAACTAAAAGAAACTGGAACCCTTAAGGGTAAGTGTTACTTACGCTTATTATTGCTTGATGTACTAGATCCAAATACATCAACTAGGACTGTGCGTAATAGAGCCAGTGTTAACATCCATTCGATGGGTTGCAAAACGGTTTTCAAAGCGGATAAAATACGACGATATGGTGAGTGTGCGAACTATCCCAGTTAAAGGTAAGACATTAATTAGGAAGAATGACACTGTTCTTCACACGAAAATAGGCTGTATTGATATCCTGCGACATGAAGTCTTCATTGAATGATACTATGCCGAAAGATGCAGCTTCTGCATGGAGTAAATGAGTGGTGTAAATGGCATTACCCTCTAACTATCCTATCTCCCCATTACACCGATACTTTGATACATTCCATCTGAAACACTAATCATTGCAACCAATATGCTAAAAGTGTGTCGCAGTCAGATCACATGAGGCGGACACCAACATAATCAGCCAAAAAATGGAAATTTCCCTCAATCTAGATAATATATAATACAATTTTATTAAAAATTATTGGCAAAAAAAATTTCGAAGCGGAATTCAACAGTACGTGATAAATAAGTCCAGCCGCTAGTATAAACCAGTGATTTCTTTGAGCTCGCTTCTTGATTGTGAGGTAGAGGTTCCAGATCTTCGGTGAGCTTCTGCGTAGTAAGTCCCGCCACTCGACTGCTTTAGCTCTGGTAGACTCCAGGAGGAGTGGTGCGGGGATTGGTCGAGATGTGGTTTGTAGTATGCAGTATGTTAGGACTGTATTGCTGCCGTGAATGGAGTTTGACCTAACTCCCGTTGGTCATTCGGTGTAGTCATAAAAGCAGAATAGTAATAATAATAATAGGTTGTAGTGTAGATAATATAGGTTGAGATAAGTGGAATAATAAAGGTGACCTAAGGAAAAGATAGAGTGAGAGAAGGCAGAATAGGTCGTGGGGATTTAGTTTGTACGCTTATCCATTGACAGTGTGGTTTCAAGTTTTATGAGGATAAGCCATTGAGACACAAACCTTGCATTTCTGCATGATTGTCTAGCTTCCGCTTAAAAATCTCCAGAGATGGCGCTGTAGTCACGGCCGCCGGTAAAGCGTTCCAGAGACGGCAAACACGAAGCGAAAAGAAATGTGATCGCACTCGAGTCTTTGGTCTCTGGTGTGCTATCCTTAGCGGGTTACCTCGTGGAAGCCTATAATCACTTAATGGCAGGATGCTTTTATTTGGGTGGGCCTGGTCATTTAGGATCTTGTAGACGGTGATGAGGTCTCCCCTGTGCCTACGGTAACTAAGTGTGAAAAGACCTAATTTCTTTAGTCTTTCCTCATATGATTTGTTGCGGAGGCCGATCACCCATTTTGTCGCTCGTCTCTGGACACTTTCTAGAATGTTAGCATCCCTTTTGAGTAGCGGAGGTGCAATGATATTATGCACCTCAAGGTGTGGCCTCACATATGCCTTATATAGCCTTAAGAACAGTTCGGGAGTGAGAGCTCCCAGCTGCCTGTGCATAAAGTGTAATGTTGCGTAGGCTTTGGCGACGTCCCTCGAGTAATTTCCACTGGTGTCTAGCTTTTCTGTTAGAATAAGACCTAGATCACGCTCTGATGGAACACAACTCAAGTTCTGGCCACCAAGGGTGTAATTTACACTCTGTGACCTGCCGGAATGAAGCTGCACTACTTTGCACTTCTTTAGATTGAAAGGCATTCCGTTAGCCAAAGCCCAATTTCCCAGAGTTTGCAGGTCAGCCTGCAATCTATCTGAGTCTTCCGATGAGTTTATTGCTCTCCAAATCTTTACGTCGTCAGCGTAAAGAAGCGCAGAGCAGTTTAGTTGGGGGGCAGGTCATTGATAAAAATCAAAAACATCAACGGCCCTAGGATAGAACCCTGAGGAACCCCTGATGCCGAGGTGTGCCAGGATGATCGGATGCGGTTGACTTTGGTGCAGAATTCTCTCTCGCCTAAGTAATCTTTCAGCCATGCGAGAAGTGCTCCAGAAACTCCCGCCTTGCTTATTTTGTGAAGGAGCAGACCATGGTGAACTGTGTCGAATGCTTTCGCAAAGTCGAGAAAGATCACGTGGGCTGGTACCTTTTTGTCCCAGGATAGTGTCCAATCGTTCCAGGCTAGTAGAAGATTCGTCACGCAGGATCTTCCCCTCCTGAAACCGTGCTGTGCTTCGTGAAGAAGGTTAGTCCCATCGAAGTATTTTCTCATGTGGTCGTCAATGAGACTTTCCAATATCTTCGATACCACTGGAAGTAGAGCAACTGGTCTGTAACTGGTCACATTCTGCCGGTCACCACCCTTGAAGATAGGGGATAGGATTGCACGTTTCCATTCACATGGAAGTTTCCCTACATCAAGGGAGTGTTGGAACAGATCACTTAGGGGTTGACAGAGACTTTCTGAACACTGCTTCAGGACAGATGGTCTGATGCCATCACAACCTGAAGACTTTCCCGAAGCCAACCTTCCCAATTTTGCAAGTACCATAGCCGGGGTAATTTGAAATGTACCCAGCAGGTTTTCGTGTGTTGGTTTTGCGATGTAATCTGGATGTTCTGTGGGGTAATATCCTCGTTACTATTTAGTTGCCTGTGAAAGGCTAGGCTGAATGTCTCTGCCATTTCAAGACTAGTAAGAGATTTCCCATCAGAACCCACTAGATTGCATGCTCCCTGGTTGGTCGGTTTTCTTTCGGATATAAACCTGTATAGGCTTTTGGGGTTCACGAGAAGCTTATTGGCGAGGTCTCCCTGAAATGTCCTTCTATCGCTCCGGACTCGTATGTTACATCGATTCCTGAGTTCAAGGTACACTTCATATTCGGGTTGACTCTTCG